GGTATTCAACCGGCCTGGGAGCCGTTGGGATGTGTGCAGAGCTGCGTTTGCATAGATCATGATTTGTCTTTTTTTTTTTTTTTACGCCTCACTAGCTCACGAGAAGACCGCTGCGTGACACTAATTTTTACAGTGTCGACTTGTCCACTGAGCGGTCATGGGTGAATGACTGTCCTGATTCTGCTGCATGATCAAAGGTAAAAAAAAAGGAAATGTAGAGGTGAGCGCTACAAGTAAAGTTAAAAAAAAAGTCACAAAAGTTTGACGAATAAATTCCCAAATTCACTTCAGACTAAAGCGGACAAAAACTCGTTTTTCCGTGCTTTTGTCCCCCTTTTGGCAGATCGGTGTACTGAAAGCATATTTGGCATAATCGAGCCATTTCCGACTGGCTTTTTTTTTCCATTCCTGCCGAGTGTATTTGAGTTCACGTTTTCCCGAACCACTGGAAAAGCATAGATTTAGCTTTCGAGCCTCTGTGACCTTTTTCTACATAATTTAGATTACCATGAACGTGTCTCATGTTTCCTGCCGTGCAGCCAGCGCCTGTATACAAACAGGATGCATGGATGAGCATCCAAAAAGATAGCATCCTCTGAGTAACACATAAGGACACGCTTGGTCACTCAAGGGCTCACTGCATAAATCTAAATCCTCCTATAGTGCCGGCTGCAGGTTAGCGTGTCGGACTTTTTTCTGCACGCGAATATCTTTACTGGCCCACAAAGAAGTGGGGGGGTCGTAATCAGCCGCTCTCATCCCGTGCATTAATCTGCCAATCTGGACGGATGTGTACGATTTTTCTGAAAGTGATGAGATATGATTGAGATGGCCTGTAGCATGGGAAAACAAGTGCGAGGGGTGTAATGTTGAGAGTTCAGTGTGAGGGGTTGCCAGAGAGTGTGTTGCTGATTACATCTCAGCCCCTTCAGGGAAACAGAATCATATCAAGCAACTTTGAGAGACTGGTGAGGATTGGAGGAGGGTGGGGGGTAAGTTTGAGGGGCCGAGGACAGTTTACGGTTTTCATTATCCCTGATTCTGGGACTGCAACCGGCGACCGCTTCAGCTTTTGGAAAGTCTCTGGGGCTGGAGCTATCTGGCTGTGCGACGGTTCACTATCCTGGCTTCATTGGAAAGTTTTGATGCTTGATGTGAAGCGAAGTAGATCTCATTTGGGAAAAGAGGGGAGTCTGATACTCCAGTCTTACAGCTCAGCCAAGAGAAAAAACTAAATTGTGGTGTGTGGCTGTGTGTGCGTGTGTGTGTGTGTGTGTGTGTGTGGGTGTGTCAGGTGGTAGTGGGAAATGGGTGGTAATAAACACCTCCGACACGCCATGGATCCCATTCACATTCCATTCTTTTTGTTTATGGGGAGATTTCCTCACATTATCATCCTTTTCGTCCACATGTCAGAATGCAGTCTGAGTCACAATTTGATTTTCTGAAAATGGAGTGTCTTACTGCTGATACCAGCGATGCTGGTAGTGCTCATTGTGAAGCGATTCTTAATTTGGGTGCATTGTAATCTCATTAAACAGATTTTTCTGGTGAAATAAAACTTAGGCCAACTTTTAGATGAGAACATTTTTTTAGCGTATTTGATTGTGTGCTCATTTCTGCCCATTTTTGTAGAGGATTATGTTTCAGTTTAGCCTGCTTATGTTTAAAAAAACGAGCTAATGCTCAAATTTGACTTGTATTGTGTTCTGGTAACAAAAAGTAGATGGAAAAAAAGACAGCACGGTCTCTATCTCTCGAAAAAAAAAGGAAATTGAATAAGTTTTAAGATTTTTGAGCACATATATATCATATTGATTTGGGTTCATGTTAGTGGGGGTATATATCTCAGAGGAGAAAGAGCCACCAGAACATTCTAAACCTGCCAGAGCAAATACAATCAGATTTCTGACCTTTTTTTCCAGATGAAGTCTCCCTTTTCTATTTTATTTCCCCCTCCTAGATGTTACTGGCTCATTAAAACCATCTGAAATCTTTTACGACAGGAACATGTGAATCTACTCTTTATAACTGCCGGTTTGGGGCAGAGTTTTAAAATCTGAATAAAAAAAAAGAAAAAGAAAACTCGGTTAAAGTTCCCGCTCACATTTCAGCTTGACTGAGCTCAAGATGAATAATTTCCATCGCAAGCGCAGGAAAAGTTTTTTTGCGAAAAACTGCTGCTCCCCAGCTCTGAGGATTTTTCCAGGTAACAAATGTAGTTTTCCGGGAGGTACGTTTCTGCTGTGACTTTTGACTGCCTTCAGCACCTCAAAAGCAGTTCCATTTACCACCAGTTTTGTGGCGTGGAGGCAAAAGTCTCATGCAGGTTTTTTCGAAAACCTTGACAAATACACCAGAAGTGTGCACTCATATAGGAAGCAAAATACTGTAAGTGGGAGGTTTGAGAAATCAGACAAGCTACTTCCCTCTTCTTACTTTACTTTCTGACATTTCTAAACAGGAAATAAAACTACTGTTTGTATTGATTTTTAATAAGTCTCCCTTCATTGTCTCCATTGTTTGCTGCTCTTCTGTGTTTTATGTGTATTAAAACTGCTCAAACTCATCCTTGAATTGGTTATTACTGAAGCTTTAATTGTCTCGTCGTTAAATATGTGGTGGATGTTAATTTAGGGAAATCATCACTTGATGAAATGTGAGCTTCAAGTACTTTTGCTTTCAAAAAAGACTACTTGATCTGAAGGACGAGTTGTGAAAAATAAAACAGGGCACATTAGCGTCGTTTTAAAGGCAGAAACGGGCACGGTAACAAAGTAAACGTTCAAGTGGGGAAGTCAAGTGTGTAAGAGTTTCGTGGATGAAGTTTCCGTGGTGGGGATACGGCTCCGAGGAGGGGCAGTGAGAAGGGGGGATAAGTGTGTGCTTTTGAAGATGGAGCTGAAGGATTAGCGTTATCTGAGCTCATTGCTTCCTTTCCTCATCTCTCTCTTCCAGGTGGAGCCGGTGGACGCCTGAATGGACTGAGGAAGTGACTGACGGAGATTCAGAACCGGAGAGAGGAGGGATTTAGGGGGAAGAAATCAGTTACAGGACAAGAATCGCTGCCACTATTGGAAGAGGAGGGGAGCAGGGTTGGGGAAAAAAAGTGAAGTAATCCAGCGGTCAGGAGTCAGGGGGAGTGTTGGTGGCGAAAGGGGGGAGGGAGTTGGAAACCCAGCATGCGGGCAGCATGGAAAGGGTGAGGGAGCAGCGGCCTTTCTGCTCGCTGTCCAAGAGCCAGAGGGACCGCGTGAGGGACTGCGAGAGAGACAGGGAGCGGGAGCGCCGCTACACCGCCTCCTCCACTGACCGCGAGGAGGGAGCCTGCCGCGTGCCCACTCAGAAGTCCTACAGCTCCAGCGAAACCCTGCAGGCGTTTGACCATGACCCCTCACGGATGCTGTTCGGAGGCCGAGTCAAGGAGATGGTCCACAAAGAGACAGCAGAATACACCAGGCCAGGTCCGTGAGAAAAACATCTCTCTCCTTTTTCTGTTTTGAAATGTTCCTGTTTTGGAGCTAAATATGAGCCTTGCTGTGGAAGATTAAAAGGATGCTATTTTGAGCTCCTTATCTTTGTCTTTATCATGATGTTAGTTCCCACAAAACAATGCTATGGATTTTTTTTTAATCTATAATGATAAAAGGGACATTTTTTAGTTTTCTTACTACAAAATCCTCATATGCTTTGTTTACCAGTGTGATGCTTCATTATAATTGAACATGGATGCAGGGATTTTGCCATTTGTTTACTAAATCGTACCATCTAACAGTTTTATCCTCCCCTTTATCCATGCAGGTTTGACAGTAAAAAAAAAAGAATACTAATACATCACCAGTTTGGAAGACAGGGGTAAACACAATTAAAGTATGCCATAAAGGCATAATTAAGTTTTATTTTCCTAAACTTTTAAAGTAGTAAAGTGTACAATACCCAATACATAGGGCTACTATGACCTTATAAAATGCTCATACCATGCTGGACCAAGTTAGAATAAGAATAAATGCTCAATAAGTAACTCTCTTCTTTAATTGGCTATTAGAAACTGATCTAATTTCTGTAATTAAAAAGTTTGAGCAGTTTATTCTATTTTATGGCACTCCTCGGGCTCGTAAGATTGCAATCAGAAAATCTATCCATTACTCTCATACATTTTTTCAGTGCTAATTGGTGTCTGTTTTAGAATTAATGGGATCATGATGAAGTTGTGGGAGGAAAGCTAGTTTTCACTATTTCTTTTTTCAAATGCAGACATTTAATGCTAACGACTGTTTCTTACATCATCGTGATCGGTGTTGGATTTAATGTCCGTGGTGGGAAAGGAGCACATTTTCTACTGCTGTATTTGCTCTTTGTGCGTGTGTATGTGTGTGTGTGTGTGTGTGTGTGTTAGTGTGTTTGTGTGAACAATGGTCCATGGGAAACTACATATAATGATCTTCCCTATACTGTATGTGATGAAAAATGTTTAAAAAATAAAGGAAAATATCATCAAACTGATGGGGAAAAAAAAGAATATTGGTTTGTATATTCAATACATAAGGTTGCTTCATTTTAAATGCTGAATTCGACTGGAAATCAAATAGAATTATATTAGAGCTATATATATATATATATATGTGCATGTGTTTATTTTATTTAAAATAAAATACACATAATTAAGATTTATGATATTCCCAGATTAATTCAGTGAGAACTTTAATTGACTCCTTGTTTAGATTTCTTTTAGCTGATTGAGTCTTTTGACAGGCTTGTATATATGAATCCATATATGAGTAAATATGAATACATAACCTTTTCCTCCTGTCTATGGCATGGCTATATGTATATATATATATATGTGTGTGTGTGTGTGTTAATGGGATGATAATTACTCTACATTTTAGGCATATATTTTCCAGCCAAGTGGTTAGCGTGTATAAGCTGTGACGTGTGATTTTTGTTGGTGGCTTTAAAATGGTACCTTCCTTTGCCACTCTCGCTCTTGGCTATTAACGGCGTTGTTGCTTTGGTTTGTTAACTTTACTACTCGCTGTCATTCACAGGGCAGACGTTTTCATTGAGGCAACTGGGGATTTGTGAGCCACCACCTCGCAGAGGCTTGGCTCTCTGCCCTGAGACGGGCCTGTCCCACCCACTCAGCAGCTACTCCAGAGGACCGGTCGCCACAGAAAACCATGAACCTGTATCACCGGAACGTACCATGACTCTATGGGGGACGGGGGCGAAGTCGGGGCAGAATTCATGCCTCTCCAGTCGCTCTAACTCAGCGCTTACACTCACTGACACAGAAATGGACAATAAATCGGACACTGAGATGGGTGAGTGGGGCACGTTTTTCATTCCCTCTATCTCCAAATGCTTATTTGTTTGCAGCCCATGCTCCCGTTGCCTTTTCAAAGAGGAGGAATTCTCATGGAGAAAAAGCAGCAGTAGGCTGGATTAGGGGTTTGCGCCCTGATTGGTGGAAGAAAGTGGAAACGCGATTGGTGGGGATGCTCGGCGAGGCATTTGCAGCTGCCTTTGTTTGGATCAAAGGCTTGATTTCCTTACAGCATTCAGCAAAGAATGTGGCCTTCAGATTGAGTAGTTGCTAGTCACCTGGTTCCTCTCCACAGGAAGCAGAGGAGTTTGATAAAGTTTCCCCATGGGCTATCGTATAATCAAAGATAGCTTTGTGTGCCTCGGTCTGAGATTTTGCTTAGAAATTCTGCACTGGTTGACTGAGCATACATAATGGCTTATTAAATGGGCACAATGGTTTGAAGTGCAAATTCGATCATGCAGGAAACCTGAGATGGAGGATTGTGGTTCTCTGTTTGAAGAGGGCAAATCTGGCGCGTCAAATCGAAACAGCGCTGGATTGGTTATATTGGTCGTATTCCATGATTTAGGTTACTGTTTTCTCATTGAATCACTTCTCAAATGTTAGATCATAGTTTGGAAAATACCTCCTATACGTTCGACCTCCTCTAAAAGGGTTTTTTGTCAAAAAGCTCTCATTTTGGTGGAAGTCTTCAGAAAGACTTTTCAAAACTCTGTGCTCTGGAAACACTCCTGACATTGTACGTCATCCGTCATTATTACGGTGGGAGCCATCATCATTATAACGCACGCAACGTAAAGCTCTAATTATTTTAAGAAATCGATGGTCTCAAAGAGTGGCAGGCAGTCTAAATAATTAGGGCTGATTACACTTTCCTGGCAAGAGCATTAAAGAGAGGGGAAAAAAGGAAAATGTCCCGTTTTCTTGTGCTATCAATTTTTATACCGAAAACATTGGCTACAGCCTGACATTTCAGACAAGTCATTTTCTTAATGGCGGCATTCATCATAGTGAACTTGTCTCCGGGGGGAGGGGGGGGAGGTGAGTTAAGTCTTGTACCTTTTAAAAATGCCATCAGAATTTTCAGCTGGTGGGTCTCTTCCTGTTCCTGAGCCCAGACACACTCCAGACATTTTGAGCTGAGCGCTAACCAGAGAGGAGCTGGTAAATATAGTCTCCACCTCCCTCCAGTCATATATTTTCTTGGTGGATGTGAAACCATACTGCCAGTGAACGCGGAGCTCGGCTTCAATAGGTTCTCTGCTGAGCTTTGATTTCTCCTGCCCTGCTCCACTTAAGCTGCGTGACCCCACACACACTCACGCACACACACACACACACCACAGGCGCACACCGCTTAGGCATCTCCTGCCGAGTTTTCTTTGGGAAACGTCTCAAGAAGCTGCTGCTGATTGTCTCTGGTTTGAACAACGTCCCATTGGGTCTCTTAAACTAACTCGCTCAGAGTTGTGAGTTTAAGTCCAAGATTTTTTTTTGCCAGGTGACATACACACCCAAACTGTTTCGTCTTTTGAAATGTTTCGGAAAATACATTTTTGTAAGAGAAATGCGTTTAGTCCAGCAAACCTTTCTTTTACTTTTCAAAATCTCTTTTTTTCCCTTATTTTTTAACATTTTAACCCCTTTTATTTACTTGTATTACTATTAAATATTACTAGTATCGAGCCTTTGTCACCATCTAGAATGTTATTCTTGGTTTACAAATAGCAGTCATCCTCCATGCTAGACCTGCTTTACAGACCTTAGTCGTTTTTTTTTTTTTTCTCCGTCAGGAGACATTGCACTTTTGACTTTCACTATTTAATGAAGCAGCGAAGAGAAATGACCCATCCAAAGGTTTCTATCAACCCAATATGCATGCAGAAGCTCCGACAAGGGGCCGTTCAGCCCCACTTATTCATAAATGAACTCAATATTTCATTCTAATTTGCTCTGTTCTACAGAGTGTTCTACACAGACAAGTAGCAGCAAAGCACGAGCACATGCACAGAGCGCAGCATCTGCAGATGTTAACCTGTGAGGAGGAGGTCCAGCCTTTCAATCATGAGCCCAGAGTGGTCGTGAGTGGCCATCTCAATGGGCTGCAGCTCTAAATGACCCATGTGGGACCGGAGACCGGATAAGAGGTGTTGTTGTGAAAAGTGACGCATTTGCATTTTTGCAAATGCCAGTTTCACCGGTTGAGCTTTGTCCTCTCTCTTAAGAGGACATTGACAGGAAAGTGGCTGTCCGTTGCTTTTTGTCCTTACTGATGTAGTAAAACGATAAAAAATGCTCTCGAACCCATTAATGTTTAATAAGGTCATCTATCTTTTTATTCCTTTTTCTGATTATCCTTTAATTACAACGTTTTTCTCTCTAATAGTGATTTAGTGGCTCGTAACAAAGCAGGAAATCATAGGTTCAACTATTTTTTTTTATGAAACTTCACTGACACTTCATGAGGCTGGATTTCTGTATATTTAGTTGAAAATTTGAAAAGAAGAAAAAATAATTAGCTGTTTGTATTCGACATGTGTCCACTGTTACTTCCTGTTTCCTGTATTTTTAATTTCAAGAAACATTTTGAAATTAATAACCACTTGAACACTGGCATGCCCACAGCTATCTACTCCCACACAAAGGAATAAATATATAAACTCTGCTCTGTCTTCTCATGCAGAAATTATTTTATATAATTTACTATACCTGGCAGTGATCACTTTGCCATGGAAAAACACTCCTACACACACGCAAACCAACATACTTCTCTGCCCTTTCTGTATAGCAACAGCCAGCAGTAACCTGCTGAAACATTGTGTCTTTGGGAAGTGTAACCCTTCTACAAGTGGTGACCTGATTAAAATAAGAAATATCTGAACTGACTTTGGAGAAAATTGAGTTTTTAAAAAAAATCAGCTGTAATGAAAGCATATTGATGGTCACTAGTGGGAGCCCAAAAAAAAAAAAAAACTTGACTAAAGCCTAAATTCTTCAGTATGAGTGTGATATAGAGACTTGAAGTAATTGGATTATCTGGCCTACATATTAATATATTATAAGACATGTTGACAAAGACTGATAACAATTAATAGAAGAGTAAAGGATTCTAGTAATCAATCTCTATTATAAGATTTTTAAGTTTGATGTGTTGCTTAGAAAGTTGATATTAAACCATATGATATATGAACATATGATCTAATGTTACTATTTGAGAACTAATTACAAAGAAAAATGCTGATTTGAAAAAAAAAATTATGCTGAAAAAAGTTGTGGTAGGTATTATTGTTTTGGACTACTTTGAACTATATATTTATGTACAGGTTAGGAAGCAGTTGTTGTTTTTGGTCTTAGTTTTTTACAGTTCTTTTATTGTCATTGAATTCTGTAGTTTGTTGAAATATCATGAAAAATTGAAAACATGGCTTTTGTTCTTCTCCACATTTCATTTTTCTTTCCAAATTAAAACCTGCTCTTCTTTCAGACCCATTATCACTGAAAGTAATTTTAATTTAAAACCTCAGAAAGCATTTGTACACTAATCTTTAATGGTGCTCCGCTACACACACACACACACACACACACACACACACACACACACATATACACAGACTAAATACAGACTATTCCCTAATGCAAAAAAGAGAAAGAAGAAAATAAAAAAGAAACATGTCTATTTTAGAAACAAAACAAAAACAGGACTCATACTGTGAAAATATTCACCGCTTAATTAAATCGCTCATGTTGTAGAGAGAAAAAAAAACCCAGTGTTGTGTAGGTTGCTCTTTTATGAATATTTAGCTTTGGGTCTGTCAGGTCAAAGAACAGCATCTGAGTAAAAGTCAACACGTCCCAACGAGACCGATTTCTTTTTCCGTCCCAATGTTGACTGTGCCGGGTTCCAAATCAATATTATACCCTTCATAAAACATGAATGACTGCGTCTAGCAAAAACACAGCCGGGCCCGGTTGAATTGTATTCCTAATAGAGTGTGAAAAAGCTCGCACTTACTTGTTATATACCGCGGCTATAGAGCGGCAGCACGTTGTGACAGCTCTCCCCAGGTTTTCTAAACCATTTCACATGGGGCTCACTGTTCGGTGGGAGGGGCTCGATGCCCGCTGACCCCCTTGTTTGGGGGAAAAGGGGGGCTTCCACCGGGGGTGCCTGTCATCCTCGGTTAAAGAGGCGTCCTCTGCCCCGGCCTGCTAGCTCCTGTCCAAAGTTATTGAAGGGAAAATGTGTGTGTCGCATTGATGTTTTCACAGGGGATGGCTAGCTAGCGAATGACGCGGTGGGGCCTTGTCTTGTGTGTCCTCCCCGCCATGTTCACATCAGGGACTGTTTACCGGAGGATGTGTGGCGGAGAAGAATTTCAATTTGTTCGAGTCACAGGTCTACACGGCGGTCGTGCGCGTTTCTACAGTGGCGTGTAGTTCACCGGCTCATTGTGTGAGGCGTGCCGGTGAAAGGTTAATTAAATCAGCCGAGGAGTCGCAGAAAAACCAAAAGGTTTTTTTTTTTTGGGTGGGAGTACGAAAGCGCACCATCCGCCCTCTAACATGCCTCTCTGCGTGTGTGCGTGTATTTTTCTGATCGCTCACTATGTGTTTTCCTACCTTTTTTTTTTCTCCGCCTTGTGTGCATATGGGCGCACGCACTCGCGCATCTCACTTTGGGTTTTTTCACACGTTATGAGGAAATCAAGCAAACGTGCAGACGCCTGTGCGTGCACATGAGCGCACATGCGAAAGGGGGGGGGGGGGGGTCACGCTGACGAAGGTGACACGCCATCTGTCAAACTCCCGTGTCAGATCCACAGCTCGTATTGTGGCGGTTGGAATCGGGCTATTGATCGTAGCGAGAAGAATCCCTTTTCTTGCCACTTTCATAATTCAAGATGACACAAACGGGACACACACACAACAAAAAAACATTAGTTTTCTTTGTTGTTGTTGTTTTTTGGTGTGTTTTTTTCCTTGGTCAGAGGTGTCGGCCATCTGTATTTTTTTCTCCAGAGCTGACAGAGGAAGAGGTTTCATCGTTTGCGGATAGGGGGCCTGGATAGGTGTGCCGGTGTTTTATCTCGGGGCCTCGTCAGAAGAGGACGCGCGCTTTG